AAACAAGGGAATTTTACCCAGCCATAAAAAGGAATGAAATTCATTTTTTTATAGTGAGAAGGATGGACCTCGAGTCTGTCATACAGAGTGAGTGAAATAATTCAGAAAGAGAAAAACAAACACCGTACGCTAACACATATATATGGTATCTAAAATCAAAAAAAAAAAAAAAACCATTAAAAAAAAAATGCACTCTCACCTTAGTTTTATTAAGGAAATAGCCTCAGCCCTGAAAGAGCCTAGCTCTGCCTCCTGCTGGCTGTCCGGCGCTAGGCCCCTGTGTGCACACTGGTCTCTGAGAGTCTTCCAACTCAGAAGTTGGTGGCACCCGGCCCAAGACAAGTCACTGCTGTGTACTGGGCCAAGCCCATCTCTAGTGGTGCAGGGGATGGTAGGTACATGCGGGAGGTTGGACATCGCAGTTTGTTGAGTGGTCCTCCCATTACTTCATAGGGAAGCAATTCTCTCCCTACCCGCTGGGGGCCCTCAGTCTTAGGGTGGGTTTCCCATCCTAAAGGTTAACTCCCCGATTTCCCTAATTCTCAGAGGTTCCCTCAGATTATACCAAAGGACCACACAGACCCACCTCCCCTTTGTCCCTTATCTGGACCAGCCTGCTGCTGGGAGGGCAGGCACCAGGACAGGTGACAGCCAGCTCCACCACTGGCCAGCTGTGTGGCTGTGGGCAAGTCACTGAGCCTTCGAAGGCTCCCCGTCCACCCCAGTACGTGGAGCAACTCAGATCCGGGATTCCAGCCGTGTCAAGGTCTGATCTGAGAGAAAATGCTGGGAGAGGCCAGGGGAGTGAGGGGGCAGCATCAAGGCCCAGGGTGCCTGGGTAGGGAGGCCGCAGCCCAGGCCATGCCACGCTCATGCCTCCAGGCTTGTCCAGAATGTGTGGGCCACATCCAGCTGTGTCTGAGGCTTAATGTGGTCTGGTTTTTATCCTGAAGGTTGGAAAGCTGGTTAAAGAAGCCGCCTCCCATAGCAACCTGAAGAGGGTGACACTGGAGCTTGGTGGGAAAAACCCCTGCATCGTGTGTGCTGATGCCAACCGTGAGTCTCTCCCCTTCCAGGCATTGCTGGGACTTTATGGGACCCGTAAATCTCTCCTCACTTCCTTGCCCAAATCAGAACCAATTGAGAAAGACAAGCACACACACAGTGGGGATGTTTCTCCACCTCAGGTTATCCCTCCATAAATAATAGGCAGATGGAGATCCAAACGCCAGCTTTACTGCTGGTAGAAAGCTGCGTTGGAGGAGGACATGTTTCATGTGGTAGCCAGAGAGGCCACCTGTTTCTGCCCTTCATGAGTTTGCCTTCCCTGCCCTTGCAGAGCTGGGGCCATGACAGGCGGGCTGGGGTTCTTCTCCAGAGCCCCCTGTATCGGGGGAGAGGGGGAAGGCCAAGAGGAGGAGGAGAAGGGCATGTGCTCCCCCCACAAGCATTCATCATTCTACCCTCCAAGTCGGTACTTCCTATGATGCTTTCAGGCTCTCAAAGACTTGAGATGTTTCTTCCTTCTTTGTCTCAGATCTGACAAAACAGAGGCCAGTGGCAGGTGACCCTTAAAGATACCCTGCTGGCCTGGGTGCTGTCTCTCCCTTCACTACCTCTTCCCTGGGAAAGCCACCCTGCCCAGCAGCTTGGGGGCAGTTTGTGTCTCATGACATAATATTAAAATAGACACTCTTCTTGGTTGTCATGTCCAGAAGAGGGAAGGAAGGGCCATATCAGACATTCATCGACCTGCTGACATGGTCCGCTGCCAGATTTTTGGTGTGACTTCCCAAGTACACTAAAACACCTTTGCCTTAAAGAACAGCCTCCCCCACCTGCCCACTGGTGCCAGGAATTCCTTTCATGGAGTACAAAGCCTTCCACTCCACACTCAGATAAGTTTGGAACTGCAAATATCCCTGAGAAAAATGACCCTAGCACAACTTCTCGCCAAGGTGTAAATAACTGGTTTCAGTTCTACTCCTTGAAGCTGGCTTTCAATTGGAGAGAGGACTGGGTGAGGAAACAAGCCCCAAGGAAAGAAAGGGAGGCTGGGTGTGAAGGTGGACTGCTCATTTTTTGCCTGGTTTGGTGCTCCCTAATGGAAGCATCATCAGTGTTGCTAGTGGTCTCTGGAGCCACACGGAACAGTTCTGGGTATTGCCCCACTGTGACCCACATTTGGAGTTCCAAAGAGCCAGACTCCTGTTTTGCATTCTTGTGCCTCCATATCTGGGTACCCCTTCTGCACCTCAGTTCACCCTCTTTCCCTCCCAATGAGGAAAACTACAGCTAAAACACAGGACTCCTGTCTGAGGGTTGGTTTGATAAGGGTCATGTGAGCAAGTGAGGTCATGGGCAAGTGAGGTGAGGATGTGACAAGTCTCTGTGTTCATTAGTGCGGTAAAGACACTAAGTCCTGCAGTCAGGGGACCTATTTAACCCCAAACTCCACGGATCAAAAAATCCCCTTTCCCATGCTCTCTGTTTGGGAAGTGCTGAGCAAAATTAATTTCTGAAACGTAGCCATCCCGGGGCCTGTTTTCTCATGTGGGCAATTAGAGTTGCAGCTGTCGCCAGTCCGGCCTTAACAACTTAATCGCTTCCTCTTCCCTCGCCGCCCCCTCTCTCCAGTGGACTTGGCAGTGGAGTGCGCCCATCAGGGAGTGTTCTTCAACCAAGGCCAGTGCTGCACGGCCGCCTCCAGGGTATTTGTGGAGGAGCAGGTCTATGACGAGTTTGTCAGGCGGAGCGTGGAGTTCGCCAAGAAACGGCCCATTGGAGACCCCTTCGACATCAGGACCGAACAGGGGCCCCAGGTAACCTACTGACGTGTCAGATCTTGAGGTGCAGGTCTGGGGACTGAACCAGGCAGGCCTCTGGCCCTGACCCTGTACAGCTCTGGTGCTCTGTGACTCCAGGGGACTCCCTTACCCACTTGCCCAGCCACTTGAGGCTTTTGTTCAGATGCTGATCAACAGTTCAATCCCATCAGGTCTTGGTAGTGTTATGAAATGGGGCTGGACACACAGAGCTCTGCTCTTTGCAGCAGATAATGCTGAGCTCTAGGCCTTGGTAGAAGGGAGGCATTCCCAGTTCATAAGTCCATGTGATTGCACCCTCCAGGCAAAGGACCAACCCTTCTCTGAGCCACCAGGGTCCCCAGGAGAGAGCCTCAGGCAGAGGCTGTCTTGCCTGGCTGGCCTCTCTGCAGAAGCGAGTTGTAACCCTGGCTGAAATGCAGCAGAGTACAGGTGGAGGCAGCAGCTGGAGCCAGAGGCCTCAGCCTGGAGGCCCTTGAGCCCATGTGCATTATAGGACAAAGTGACCATCAGAAACCAAAGAATCCCACTGGAAAGGGCTCGGAGGATGGGGATACATCTCCAGGCAGTAGGAACACGTCTCTGGAGACCTGGGTTTTGAAGCTAATGACAGGATGAAAATGATCATAACCACGAGGTTTAATAACCTCTTTAAGAGGGCAGGTCCTGTATCACTTTCTTACTAAGTATGCAGTGCGGCAGATGGATAAATATTTAAAAGAGGGCAGCCTGACCATCCCATGCATTATTAAAATGGAGTTCAACAGCAGCCTACTTTGCTTGTAGCCAAAGTCCTGCTCCAGCCAGGAAATTTCAAATCACATGTCAGGACTCAACCAATTTGTGTGTGTCCTGGGAGCTGGCTACTTACCCACTGCATTGGCACCACGTGTTTACACGGGAAGCCATGGATCTGAGGGCAAGTTTGGCTCTGTGATTTTGTGAAAGCCACAAGCTCCTTCCAAACCTCAGTTTCCTCATCTGGAAAATGGAGTAATTGATGAATATTATGAAAATTTCAAGGCACTTAATAAGTTTTTATTTTTTAAGGGCAGGGGGGCATTAAATGGCAGGCTCCCTGATCTAAGTGGCAGCAAATGTCTGTGCATGACTTCAAGCCACATCAATTAGGTCTTGCTTAACCATCTTGGCTGGGGATAGGGGAGGACCATGTGGAAAAGGTGTGTTTCTGGCTACAGTGCCCACCCCTGCCTTGCCCCATCCCACATGCTCTGTGGCTCTGGAGCCACATGACCCTGGTGGAGAGAAACATCTCCACTTGTGGCCAACACTCCGCTTCCTGTCAGGCCTCAACCCCAAACCCAGCAGCCAGTGACACAAAGTTGTCCATCGGCCTTGGTTGGATTTCAGGTATGAATACACACATGGCCACATTATCAAATCTGCTGTGATTGTAAAGCTAACCCAGAATCCATGGGAAATATGTGAGCTGATCCCATTCTAAGGAATCCCTTTTACCCCATCATTATTCATAAGTCTCTTTCCAAGGCTTCAGGCTTGACTTTTGAAGCCAGATATAGAAATCTCTTCCAAGACAGCACAGTGGTGTTGATTTCATCAGTGCTTTTGATGCTGCTGCTGAAAGTCCTTTTGAAAACTCACTTAAGCCATCTAACCTCAGCATATTATTTTAGGATGTTGTTGGGGTTTTTTTTTCTGCCAAAGTGCTTTTTCATCTACGTTAATAAGGCTTTACTCCAAGAGGATTTACAGCTGTCTAAATAGTTCTGTCTGTCTCATGCCTGTAAAACAGCTAGCTGACCAGATAGGTGTCCACTGCAGGCAGCCAGAACACTCCAAAATTATTCAGGTTTGTTTGGCAACTGAGCAAAGATATGCACAGACTCATGCAGGCCACCTGGTGGGGGGCAGGGTCCTGCATCCTCTCTGTCCTCTCCTCTCCGGCAGAGCCACTCACAGCCTTGGCCGTCCACGGGGCCCTGTTTCTCCGTCTTTGGTGCTGTGCCCTGGTGCAGCCTTCACTTCCCAGCAGGTTCTTCTCTCGCACTGTGAGGCACCAGCTGACATTCATGGAGGATTATTAGATTTAAACAACACATTCACACGGACTTGCCAGGAAGAGTTGAGTCTGGACGGTAAAGTTTCCATGGGGCCTCCACTGGCTTCAGGACAGACGGTCTTGGAGGCAGAACATGGTCAGTGGCCGCTGAGGGTCTGTAGTTTGATGAAGCCCCACAAGCCTCTTGGTCTCCAAGGAGGAGGAGAGAGCAATCCTGGCACTTTTAACCCAAGACTTGGTTAAGACTTCCCAGAGAAAAGTTGAGGGAACCTTGAGATATTATGAGATCTGCTGCAGTTTGAGTTACTTTTTAGGTGGCAGTACTTACACACGGTCAAAACCCAAAAGACATATAAAGGTCAGTAGTGAAAAAGCTTCCTTCATTGGCATGGTTTTTACCCTTCCGTCCATGGGTATCCTGTGTTCTTAGTTCTTAGAAGAAAATTCTCCAGAATTTCTGTATATACAAACAAAATTGAGTATGTATACAAGAATGTAATATGAATTCTGGTTTCCCTTGTTTTTACTCAAAATATCTATACACAGTATTGTTTTGCACCTTGATTTTTGTCGCCTAACAAGAAACTTGAAGAGCTTTCCATATCATACCAAACCATGGGAACCTGCCTTGTTCTTTTTTATATGTACATAGACTTCCACTGTATGAATCCAACAGAATTCAAGTAACATGTACTGATGAGTATGTGGGTGTGTGCGGTCACGCACGGTGCCACAGAGTATGTCATTCCACATATACACAAGGAAATCCACAGGATGGATTGCCCAAGTGAGAGCACATTTATGATTTCTACAAGCATTGCCAAATTACCTTCCAAAAGAATGAACCAACTTACGTTCCTGCCAACGTTGTATGAGCTTGCCTGTTTCTCCAGCCTTACTAACAGAATATGTATGGAGTTTTGCCCATCTGATAGTTAACAATGATATCTCATTTGTTTTTAATGTACATATATCTCTTATAATGAGTAAGGTAGAACATCTTACCATGTTTAAAGGCCATTTATATTTCCTTTTCTATTAACTGTGCATGTGCTTTGCATATTTTTCTCTTGTACTGCTGATCATTTTTTTTCACTTCTAAGAATTCTTTACATACTAGAGAGAATTCTTTACATACTAGCGCTATTTCTATGATATGACTTGTCAATTTTTTCCAGTTTGTTGTTTTGCCCTTTGACTTTGCTTATGCTGTTTTTGCCTTCTTTTTTTTTTACGTACTCAAATTTATTAATCTTTTCTTTTGGCTTCTGGATTTCAAGCCATAGAAAGGCCATCAGCACTCCAAACTTATGGAGGCATTCTCCCACATGAGAGAATTTGAAAACTTTTTATGACTTCATCTTTCATGATTGTCTTTGATCTACCTGGAATCTATCCTGGTACAAAGTGTGAGGTCTGGATCCAACTTGGTGTTTTAACACTGGATCCACGCTTCATAAGATGACTGGTCAAGGGGCTTGCATGGTTTGTGCCCACCCCTTCCAAGAAAGCCAGCCTACTCCTCAGGGACAGACAGTCATCCAAATGCACCATTAGGTTTGCTTATTTTTTTATTCAAATTTGCTTAAATTAAACCACTTTTTTATCTGAAAGTCACAGCTACAGCAAACCTATCTAACAAAGCTCTGTCTCTCCCAGCCAGAGGGAGGGGATCTGCAACAGGGTCAGGGTCAAGAACAGGGTTCCCACGGATTTGGGAAGAGGGATCATTTTCAGTGGGAAGAGCACTTCCCCCCCTTGAGTCTCCCAGAGAGGTGCCCTTTGCCAGCCGGTCGAATACAGCATCCACAAGCTGGGTGTTAGGCTGGTGGTCCAGGGTACACCCCAGCCCAGGAGACCCCTAAGCAAGGTGACAGGAGTTGGAGCCCTTCTGATGAGCTGGCTCCCCATCAACCAGGAGCAGCCCCTCTACCTCACCTTGAGCCTCTACTCTGTGTCCAGGGGTGATGAGTAAGGTGGTCAGCTTTACTTCTCACTTCTCTGCACTCTGGATGGAGAATTCCAATAACTGTTGGTGCCCTAGGAGCAGGGTGCAGGGTGGCCAGTTAGAATACATGGCACCCAGTTCAAATAAACAGTGAATACATTTTTAGTGTAAGTGTTTCCCAAGTATTGTTTGGGATATGCTTATACTTTAAAAATCATTCATTGCTTTTTAGGAATTCAAATTTAATTGGGCATCCTGTGGTTTTATTTGCTAAATCTGGCAACCCTAGAAGGATGCAAGAATTAGAACAAAGAATTTGACTACTTCAGATCTTGTTTCACCCACGGATTTGCTTAACAGCATGGAGGGCGTATGAATAAACCTACACCTGGAGAGGATGAGAAAAGCCCATCTCTCCCCTGCTCCAAAGAGCCCAGATTTGTGCACCGGAGGAATATTTGCATACAGGGAACATCTGGTCCATGAATTTTTTCTTGGCCAAAACATGATGGGTAGGACAGTGATCACATAGGAGGCCGTTGGACACATAAGTTGGTAGTCACCTCCCAGAAGGAAGCCAGGCTTACCTCTCACTGTTTTACAGATTGACCAGAAGCAGTTCAACAAAATCCTCGATCTGATTGAGAGCGGAAAGAAGGAGGGAGCCAAGCTGGAATATGGGGGCTCGGCCATGGAAGACAGGGGGCTCTTCATCAAACCCACTGTCTTCTCAGAAGTTACCGACACCATGCGGATCGCCAAAGAGGAGGTACTGGGGCTGCAGGAAAGACCATGTCCCGTGGGGCCCTGTGCTGAGCCCAGGGGAGTGGGGAAGGGGGCTGGGCCTTTCAAACCGGAGTCTTCTCCAGGGCCCAGGGATCCCAGAAATCTTTGTGAAGGGGCAGTTTTCCTTTTTCCTGTGGCCTTTTCCCTCTCCTTAGGGGTCCTTTGGGAAGCCGTCCTGCTCCTGGGACCCCTGAGCCCTGTGTAGAGTTTGTCCTAGCCCCCAGTTCCACGCATTGCTCATCGTCTCCAGGGAACAACAGTCCCTCTTCTGTCTTCTAACATGTCCTCAGGTTAGCCTAGGGTGGAGGGCCATTGCAACCTGTGCATTTTGTCAGGAATTGAGCCGTGGATTCAGGGCCCAAAGCTGCCTTCAGTTCCCCCAGATCGAACTTATATGACAAGTGTTCATTCCAAAAACATGTCCTGGCTAGAAGTCTCTTTGAAGTTTTCCATCATGGGCATCCTTAGAAATGGTGGAAATTAAGATGACCCCCAATAAGAGTGTAATTCTAACTGTGTCTTTCAGTGCCACTGTTAAGCTAGTTACAACTGGTTCCCACCTGAGTCCCAGGTGCTTGGACCCCGGAATGTGGCCTTTTGGGGCACATGAAAGAGTGAATCACTGCCGAAGTCTTCCTGGTTCGAGCCTTTTATACACTTTCTCCTTGAGATTTTTATGCATTACTAACTGTACCCTGATGGCATGAGACTCAGCTCTTTAAACCTCTCTATGACAAGCTCCGTGGGAACCAGGGCAGGTATTTCAGCAGGCTGACCCTGTCCTGCTGGGCTATGGTGCTGAACATTGAATCAGTTACAAGCTCCTTTCAAAATCACCTTTAAATGTTCAGCCTGTAGCTCTTTCCTTTCCTTTGCTATGTTGTAGATGGTGAGGAACACTGCCTCATTCCCTCCCCTGGGAGTTATTAGGGAAACATTTTAGGTCATCTTCATTGATAGAAAATGTAGCACCAAGAGACCAGGGCCTGCAGTCTGTGCCTGCAAACACCCTTCACAATAACTTTCCAAGAATGACTTCCAAGGTTTTGTCTTCAGTGCATCCCACCATGCAGGGGCTCCTCCAAAGCTTGAAGCTGGGGCTTCTAGAAGCCCTGACCACATTGAGAGAGCTTCGACCCAACGTATTATTTTGGTTGTTATTTTTTATTTTTGTTTAATTCAGTCTTTCCCTTCAGATTTCAACCATCACACAGCTAAAAAGATGTTTGGACTCTCTCCTTCAGTTATCCTCTTCGTGCGTGTGAGCACTGTGGGTGTTTGAAAAAAGCATAAATGAAGGAAGTGCCTGATCAGGGCATACATGCTTCATTCCAGCAGCCTCTCACTGCCATTCTTCCAATTAATCATAGATTTTTGGACCGGTGCAGCCAATACTGAAGTTCAAAAATATCGAAGAAGTGATAAAAAGAGCAAATAGCCTTGAATACGGACTAACAGCAGCTGTGTTCACAAAAAACCTCGACAAAGCACTGAAGCTGGCTTCCGCATTAGAGTCTGGAACTGTCTGGTGAGTAGAGCATGAGTGCTTGGTCCCCCTGAGCTGCCGGCCAGCTGGCTTCCTTACCCTTCTGTTAACAGAGAGCTTTTAGTCGTACATTATGTGCCAAGCACTGTCTAAGCACTTTGCTTCATCCTCATGACCACCTTCTGAGAGGGATAGTGTTATCACCCCCATTTCACACATCAGGAAATCAAGAGACAGAGAGACCGCGTGACTTGCCCAAGGTCACACAGCTAGTACGTGGCAGAGCAGAGCTCAGGACCAACTGTCCAGCTCTGATGCCCATGCTCTTGACCACCGTGTTGGGCCATCCCTTATTTTTTATTCTAAGAGCAGCACATGCTCTTGTGCAAAGTATGGATGAAAGTATCTGTTTCACCAATAATTCTGCTGATTACACTATCCCCATTTTAAAGATAATATTAGAAGATAAATATGAATTGGAGGCCAAGAAGCAGGAGAACTTTGAGGTCAGGCCTGTCTCATTTCAGAGCTAATTCTTATTCCCTTCGCCATAATTTTCCTCTCCCTTTCTCTCCCTTTGTCATTCCCCTCCTACCCCAGTGAGAAGCTTTATACTTCAGAATATTCAAATTTTAGTTTCTGGTGGTAAGAGCAAGAAGGCAGAGATCAAAAACAGTGTTTTCATGATTAAAACCTTGACAAAAAGTCATCCTTTAGGTGACGCTCTACACCAAGTGCCTAGTAGCTGCAACACCTGAGGTCCAGCTGGGTCCTCTCCTGGTGACCCTGAGCAACCCTGAGCTTCTCTTTATTCTCTCTCCAGGATCAACTGCTACAATGCCATCTATGCACAGGCTCCATTTGGTGGCTTTAAAATGTCGGGGAACGGCAGAGAACTGTAAGTGTTTCTGTCACTCCATGCCTGTCAGCAGAGCCGATAAAAGATACACTAGATCTGCAGTGTATGGTGAATGGTGGCCCGCCCTCTAGTCCACTGAGCTCTCCCCTGTGCTGTGCTTTCCCCCTGGGCTGGGCCGTATCCCCCATCTTCTCTCCTCTTCCTGCCCTTCCCTACCCTCATCCTCACGCCACCCCAGGACCAACCCCCAGCCTCAGCATATGTGTCCTCCCCAGCACCCATCCCATGTGGAGATGTTCAGTAGGTACTTGACCTAGGCTCACTGCAGGACAAGGCAGAGCTGGGAAGTGCACTTTCCAGCAGACGCAGGATGTCATTACTCACTCAAACCCTGGCCCTCAGCAGGGAGGATGGGCTCTCTCCCAGGTCAGGCTGTGGCCCTTCTGCCCACAAGCAAGTTCCCAGGGACAGAGCGTGGGTGACTCTGGCTCCTCCTCAGTGCCTCTTCAGAGGGATACTGCAACATGCTGGGCCTCCGAGCCTCTGTCAAACCCACCGCACACTCCTTCATGGTGCCCTTCTGTCTTGCCCTTTGGGAGGCTCTGCTCCATAGACCTAGACTAATGGATGGATCTTCTGTGTCTGGCCCAAGATAAAAGGCCCAGGCCTAGAGCTGGATGGAGTGTTCTGGGGGTGGGCACGCTGTGGTTTCCAGCCAGATGCTGCCTTCTCTCCCACATCTTTCTTGGTGGTCATTGGGGTTTTATTAGCCTTTGTGGATAAATAGCTTGTAGGATCAATCTTCCCAGGGAAACCATCTGTGACAACACACAGGGTCATTCCTGGAACATCTCAAAGGACTCCAAGCTCTTCCTCTTATTTAAACAGTTTGTATTATTTATATACAGATGCATCACTTCGTACTTATTTGTACATCTTCCAGTAGGAGCACTCAGATGCTTCCCCTTGGCTTGGGCCTTAGTGGGGCTGTTGCGCAGCTACCCTTCCAGATTCTTAATCAAGATGTATGAAGGAATGAACGGGGCTGGCTTCCATCCCTGAGCAAATGCTCTTGACCAGTCTCCAGGGTATTGGGGGCCCTTCCCCCTTCTCAGTCCTTCTTTCTCATTCATCCTGACTCGTGGCAATACAGCAGAGCCATCTGAACGTCTGAGTAGAGTGTGTCCATTTGTGTCCCCCTAATTCCTAAAATTGGTTTCCCCTTCCAGAACCTCAGTAAATTCTTGGCCATGAAGACCCTTTACAGAAACCTTGTTCCCTCTGCTGAATGGCTTGGTTGTGTTGTGTTCTGTGAGCCTCTGATCATTACCTCTTCACACTCACCTGTCCACCAGGGACATGAGACCTGGGCTGGGATTACCCGCATCACCTCTAGGGCCCACCAATAGCACTGGCCACAGCTGACATTTGCTGAGCATGGACTCTGCCGACCTCTATCTGAGAGCCTTGCACATGTTAAGGCACGCCGTCCTTACAACAGTCCCTGGGATAATCTGAATCCATTCAGGCTGCTGGGACAGAATACAGTAGACTGGGTGGCTTAAACAACAAACATTTATTTCTCCACTTCTGGAGGTTCAATATCCAGGTGTCTGTTGAGGACCCTCTTCCTGGTTCACAGGCAGCCGTGTTCTCTCTGTGTCCCTGTGGAGTGGAAGGGAGGAAAGTGTTCTCTGGGGTCTCCTTTATAAGGACACTAATCTCATTCATGAGGGCTCCACCCTCTTGACCTAATCACCTCCTAGAGGCCTCACCTCCTAATTTCTTCACATTAAGGATTAGGGCTTCAACATTTGAATTTCAGGGGGACACACATGTTCAGTCTACTGCAGGTAGGTACTACTGCTACCCCTGTTTTTGGATGAGGAAACTCAGGGATGCCCAGAGAGATCCTGTGCCTTCCCCAGGTCACACTACCAGTAAGTGACAGAGTTGGGATTGAACTTTTAAACCCACCACACCACAGGGCCTTGCTCAGCAGGGGTCACCTCTGTGAGCCACCTGGGATGAAGCCAGCCAGGGTACACAGGGTCATTTGTCTCCTCGCTCTGCTGCTTCAACCAGTCAGGTTGTGACAGCTGGGGGACCCAGAACCCCACAAGGCCCTCCTTGCAGAGGCCAGGCACAGCCTCCTCCCACAGCAAGAACTTCAGTCCCCAAAGCAGATGTCCTTGGATGCAGGAAGGGTGTATGGGGCCCACCTGACTTCTAGGCAGCTGACTCACACCCACTATTCCCTCACTGCTTTTCTCACCTGCGTGTCCCTCCCCATCCCCGGTGGCACCTCCTGCCCACTGCAGAACAGGGCAGGGGAGTATCCGCTGCACTCAGTTCCTGTATCATCCTGCCGGTTAGCCACAGTTGGGACTTTTGTGGATGTCTGTTTTTTCTACCCTTGGCATATATTTTCCCAAAGCTTTTGATAAAGTACTTTAACATAATTCACAAGGAGACTGGAAACTGGCTTGAAAACCAATTTCCGTTTTCAGTTGTCTCTAATTAATGTCTTCACGTTGCAATAAGTTCCCCTTTTTTATGCTGGAGCACTATGCGGTGGATTCCATGGTTTTCCCCATCCCCGGCCGCCTGGGTGGGGCTGGCTATCTGCCGCCCACCCACGGGCCCCTCTGGGATCTCTCCCTGTACAGGTCTTGGGATGAAGCCTGCAATTTCTCTTCCTCCTGGACACTTTTCTTAGTTCTTTGTTTTGCTTTGCAATATAGTAACAAAAAAAATCCACAATGTAGAGACACGTGGGAAGTCAAGGTCTCCCTCCCCTGACCCTCAATCCCATTTGTTAGAGGTAACCACTGTCCCATCATCCATTTTATTCATTTTATTCACTTGTTCATTTGTTCACTGGCATATATTTACTGAGCACCTTTGATGCCCCAGTCATGTGCTAGGCTCTGAGCACACAGCAGTGAACTCTATAAACAGCAGTGCCAATGCCCCCAACATTCTGGTGAGGTCCAGTAGGAGAAAGGCTGAGCTTATGGATGAGTGAGCGCCAAGGCGGTCACAACTGGGTGAGAAACCATTTAGGAAGGGCCACAGGGGGTCAAATAAGAATGACAAGAACTTGAACTAGGGCAGTGACTGCAGGAATAAAAAGAATGAGGTGATTCATGCACTTAATCTTACAGGAGTGATTTCATATTGGACTTACTAGTTATGTGCTAATTCAGCATGATTTTATCACTTGGTTTGCTTTTCTTTTCTTTATGCAGTTGAGAAATCATTAACTGCTTTGAATTTTTACAGTACAATATGATGTGCTCATTTTTAAAGGTTATTGTACATTTTCTATACATACAATGGATGTAAACATGTATTTTTTTTCTGTTTTCAAATGACTTGGGAGGAAAATACTTTTTGCTCTTAATAATGGGTTTTGGATAACTTATCCTTCTTTTTATTGGTGGTCTCCTATGATGGACTTTTGAGTTATTTCCAAGGGGTTTTTCTGCTACAGACCATGCTGATGTTCTTCCTTGTGCATAAATCTTTATGCACTTGTGGGGAATTGTTCTCAGAATAAATTCCCAAAATTGGGTAATCCAGCACATGAAAAATGGGCTCCCACTCTTGGTTTGCATTCCTTTCATTGTAAGGGGTTGAGCACCTTATTAACACTTTCTGGTAATCTTTATTTTTCTTCTGCAAACTGACTATTCATGTCTTTTGTTGATTTTTCCATTTGTTTTTTTTTTAATTGGTTTGTAAGAGCTTTTTGTGTATTAAAGGAAAACAGCACTCTGTTTCTCACATAGTATTGGAAATGTAATTTTTTTCTAGTTTATAATTTGCCTTTGGGTTTTTAATGGAGTTTTCTGCTCTGCAAAAGTTGAATTTAGCATTCTGTATATGGCTTTTATATTTTGTTATGTTTAGAAAAAATTACAAAATAATTCACCCATTATCATGTATCATTCTTGAACTTCATTTTAGGACACTACCAAAGAACTCAATGACATATTAACAATAAAATAATAATATTACTTTCTACCATTTACTTTTTACCTAGCACATAGTAGGTAAATTTGCTCTATTTGAATCAACTCTAATCATTATAACTATAGGGAGGTGATGGTATTCCCATTTTACAGATCATGATATTGAGGCTCAGGGAAGGCAAAAGAACTTGCCTAAACTGCATAGATCCAAGCCAGTAATTATCCAACTTGAGCTACCTCAGAATCCCATGGCTTGTGAATCCCCTGGCTGTTAAGGCACAGATTTCTGGGCCCCACCCCTAGGTTCAGTAGGTGTATTAATTTTCTATTGCTGCTACAATAAATAACCACAAAATTAGTGGCTTAAACAACATTAATGTATTATCTCACGGTTCTGAAGGATAAAAATCTGACACGAGTCAGCTAATTAGCAATTTTAATTCCATCTGCAACCCTAATTCCCCTTTGTCATATAACCTAATATTTTCAAAGGTTCAGAGAATTAGGATGTGAACGCCTTGAGGGGGGCATTATTCTGCCTACCACAGTAGGTCTGGGGGACCTGAGTCTCTGCATTTCGAGCAAGTTCTGAGGTGAGGCTGGTTCTGCTGGTCTGGGGGCCACACTTTGAGAAGCTCTGGTCTAAGGGATGAGATGGGATTCTGTCTCAAGTGTTTGTAGCTACAGAGCCTCCATGGCGGCCTCTTTTCCTAAACAGGTGCACATTCTTATTTACATAATGGCAGAGCAAGTCTTGTAGAGGCTTTTAAATCGATCCAAAGCCACCTCTCGGTTCTGGGGAGGGGATCTGCCCTAAGCATAACTCATGATGCCTGAGATGGGTCACTGGGCTCTGCAAGACTTAAGGAAAGGATGTATACCAGAAAAATGGACTCAGAGGCTGTGGACTCCCTCGTGTCCACTCTGCTAACGTACGCGCCCCTCACCGCTCCATACTGGCCTCACTCTTCTTACAGCTGGTCCCCAGCTCCAGGTCCTCTATGTCCCTGCCCATCATGGATGCTCTGGCCACATAACCGGTCAATAGCTTCGGGCCTCTGCCTCTTCTGTCTCTTCAAGCAGCTCCACCCAGGGATTTACCACTTTGTTTTAAATCCCCTTCATCCTTTGAAGGCAAACCCTTAGTCCTTCTGAATATTTCAGAAGCATCACACACACACAAAACTTGACATTTAACCTTCAGTTACATATCCAGGTACTTAAACTTACTAATGGTCTTACAGTCCTTAGACTCTATTAAGTCCTCACATTCTGACCTTTGCACAGACTCCAGACTGCCCAACAGAGTACTAGCCTGTGAAGCATTAGAACTCGGTTCACACAGAATGGCTAAGTGCCTGCCCATGTTATATCTCCCTCTTTTCTGTGATCACAGAGGTGAATATGCGCTGGCTGAATACACAGAAGTGAAAACTGTCACCATCAAACTCGACGACAAGGACCCCTGAAGGAAAGGCAGGCTCCTTCCTCAAACATCTGACAGCTGAATGTGGCAGATCTAACTTGCTGAAGAGAAACCTACATTCTGACCTTCCTGGGATGCTTTCTTCTGGAGACTTTAAATCTACTGGATTTGAACGATTTTTATTTTCCTCTCACACTCCTGTTTTATTGACCAAAATGTTGTGTGTGAAATTGTAGTCCTGCTTGGGGATGGGACTAGTGGCCATTTCTGTTTTCCACTTTCCACCAGATCCCGGGGACAGTGAGGAGGTTCAGGGTGTTGTCAACAGGAAGTGGTATTTGAAGTATCGAGCAGTAGCTTAAAACTGCTTTGTTGACTCTGACTCCAGTAAGAATTTGGAAAAAAAAATCCCTGCGTGTTCTGCAAACAGGGCTCTGTACCTGCGGGTTCCTCAGGGTTACCTGCCCACAGAACAAGCCCCTCCTACCATTCAGTGGGAAGGAATAGCAGTAAGTTTAAAAAAAAAAATAAAAACAAGGTTGGGAGTATCAGATGTGGGGAACTTTGGGGAAGCACGTACCATGGAAGGGTCCTGAAGGCCTTCAGTGTGAACGGTCTTCAAGGACTGTATCTTGACATTGACAGTGGGACTCAGCTTAAAACCAATACTGCCTTTGGAATGTGACCAAATCAACAGCCCAAAGAGCTTATCTAATGCTATGTCATTGTCTATCTTAACCAAGGCACTTTCTTAGGCAGGAAATGTCGCTAGTGTCACCATCGCTGCTAAAGACCCAGTGCTCTAACACTACAACAGTATAGCAAATCCTAGGATCATTAAGTCCCACATTTTACAAATTAGAGCCATAATTTGCTTTTCCCAATTATGCATTTCTACCACTTGCCTATGTAGTTTTCCTTTACTCCAGTTGGGGTATCAACACTTTAGTAAGACATACACAACTGAAAAGACTGCTGTTATAATACAGCCCTGGTTTTTCAAAGTCCTATTTTGATATTAATTAGTGATTGACTAACAAATAACATCTGGACTTCATGGAGGAACTGGGTCTGCTACTACAGTGGCCTGAGCACAGCAATAACAGGTTGTGAATTTTTCTTTTCCTCTTTGTGTATCCAAAGGATGTGCAATTCCAAGTTTTAACTTGGAAAACTGAAAGTGTTCCCATATAGCTTTAAAAGAACAAAACCAAACTGAAATTGTGTTATTCAGATACTTTTACTATTACTAACTAGTACTTTTCTAACGGTGCTTACGTTTGAGAATTAAGTTATGTTTGAGAATTAAATTGGGGCGGCAGTAATAAAAAGGAGGTCAGTGTCAAAACCAGTGTATGTATAGAGAAAGTCTTAGGTGAAGTGAGGTTATCATTCTTGTTGGAAATATGCACTATGCAATTCACCTTCTCTCAATCAGTTAACACATCACTTAGACTATCAGTCACTTGTTAAATCAGGATTTGACTTCATACACTGAATTTTCAGGATTTTATCTCAAGTAACTATAAACACTAACCTTGATAATAATACATTAGAGGGTTCTTATTCTTTCATTGTACAATAATGCCTTTAATATGAAATGCTACATTATTTATAATTGGTATAATGTATCTTTTTATAGTTGTAAGTAAACAGAGGTGATGTATTTAACCTTCTGTAATATACTGTATTTATCTATATAGTTTTAGATTTCACTTCTGTTAAGGTTTACTCCTGTGGTATGGTTTAAAAAATCTACTGGCCTGGGAATTCTGACCCTAACTGCAGATTGTGTTCAACAATGCAACAACTATAAAATAAAATCAGATATTTGAGAAAATTATGTTTTTTCATTTAAAGATCAGACCCCTTTTCATTCTGAGGCTGACCTTTTTCTTAGAACTTTGGTACAAAATGGCTTGTAATAAAGTGGTATCAATCACTTAAGGACAAAATTACATTTGCTCAATCCATCAAGTCCCACGCTTAGCTTGAGTGTGAAACTCACTCCTATGGTTTTGGGGTTGGACCAGGCAGCAAGCTTGGCCTCAGAGGCTCTGCATCTTTGTTGGTGAAGTTGAAGCTGTCATCTGAGCTGACGCAGTCCCTTTTTATCATAAAGTGATGAGGAGATGTGAGTGTGGGAAATGGTGGGGAAGATTGCACAGGGATTTAGGAAAGACACTGTATCCTGCAACTGTGTGCACAGGCATCCATTTTTGCCACTTTTCTCCACGAGGATCTCGGTGTCTGGGTTTAACTTACCTAAAGTTTCTAAGGCTTCAAACCAGTAAGCCTCAATCACCAAGTCATGCTGACACTGAAGCTGGATCGAGAACATTCCTGTACTTGGTTAGGTCCACCAAGTTCAACCATGCCTCTCGTGTTGAGAGTCCATATCATTTTGGCCATGTAGAGGTAAAGCTCCACCCTTTCAGAGAAAATTTAAGGGATGCTTGGATCAGATCCCTTTTAATATATGCACTTGTGTATGCTTTAATGCATTTAGAAACCTCCCATTTCCCAATCAAAATGTGAGCAGAAAATTCAAGGAAAACGGCATTACCTTCATTTGGTTTACCATGAAGTTTTACCATGAAGGTAACCATTCTGAGGACATATACTGGCTGTGGTGTGTGTACATGTGTGTGTGTACACACCTGCCCTTGTGTGCCTGTCGGGGTGGGGCACAGTAGGTTGGCACATTCTCTAAAAGTGGACCCTTTGGAATGCCCTAGCTTCTCCTGATGGTGGACCAAGCCCTTTTAATGTTCTTGCTCCTAGCATGTGGCTGACTTGAGCTTGAAGGTGGATAATTAGGGACATTTTTTAAGTGTCCAAGGAGAAATGTCTGAGGAAACAGAATACCCAGCTGAAGGGAGGTGACTAGAAGAACTGAGGGGTCAGTCAATCACTACACCTTCAGAAAGCAGAAAGGGTAGGTCAGGGAGGTAGCTTCCAACTGACCCCACCTTAGGAGGAGTCATTCCAACATGAGATGCTGGTCAGTGGGGGTCAAGAAGCAGAAAGAAATCTTAACTGACCTGTAACAGTCACCTCATGCAAACCTGTAACACATGCCAATGGATAGAGTTAAATGCTAGGATAAAACCAGCTCGAAACAGGCCACCCGTGTAACAAGTGTCCTGGCTATTTTCTACAGCGGAGACATTTCCAAGCCAATTCCCAAGCTCATTTAAAAGGGAAATTGGGGCTTCCCTGGTGGTGCAGTGGTTGAGAGTCCGATGCAGGGGACATGGTTTCGTGCCCCGGTCTGGGAAGATCCCACATGCCGTGGAGCTGCTGGGCCCGTGAGCCACAGCCGCTGAGCCTGCGTGTCCGGAGCCTGTGCTCCACAATGGGAGAGGCCACAACAGTGAGAGGCCCGCGTACAGCAAAAAAAAAAAAAAAAAAAAAA